TTCCTCTCCACATTTTTCTCGTCACACTTAGCGGAGCCTGCGTATACACCATCACCTTATCATGCTGCGATGGTTCGCGTGCCTCGATGATCCATTAAGCTCTGCTGGGTAGTGCTTCTTGCACCTTTAGAGTCACCTATACCAAATTGGCCAATGATTAAAGGCCAGACAAATTATTTGCACGATTTCATGCCATGACCCCCATCAGGGAGCTTACTCACAAAGGAGTAAAGTCGGGGAATAGAACACGAAGTCCCATTTTCGACTATTTAACTTTTTATCTTATCTCGGATATTATGATTCAGCGCAGCTTCTGAAAGTACAGTGCGGTAGTAGCCAGAGCAGGATAAGCACTGTTCTGCTGAAATGTAGCAAACATTTGGATCTCCGCAGTCGAGGACTCACAGGTGCCGAACCGCGCTATGCCTAAATTGCGAAAGAGATGACATGGAGCCTTTCAACTGTTATATCACTAAAATGGAGACAACTGTTTATTCCGACCATAAACCGCTTTTTTATGTAGCCAATAAGCCTCTGTACGACGTTTCTAGTCGTCTTCAGCATATGCTTATCCGGCTTCAAAAGCAACGACGTGGAAATTGTGTACATACCGGACACCTTGTCCAAATACTCATCTGCTAATCGCTTAACATCATCCGGAACAGATCGAAACATTTAAATTGGTACAGCATCTGGAAGTGACTTGAGATCGTCTAATAGAAATAAGGTGACACGCAAAGGAATGATTACTGCTTTGCGGGACCTAATGCTAATTGGATGGCCAGAGATATCCTCCGAAGAAACCAACACTCCACTTCCCTTTTCGGGATAAACCAACGCTATGACCGTTTGTTGTTCAGGGGAATTTGTATTCTAATTCCGTCACCGCCGCAAAGAGAAATGCTGAAACACATTTATTGCGCTCACCTGCGCGCTAACTATAATATTCGCTGAGCAAATGAATCTACGTTCTGGCCAGGAATGACAGGTCAAATCAAAGATCTTGTGTCGAACTGTGAGCTGTGCCGTTCACACGAAATTCCGCAGACAAGGGAACTAATGTGGCTGCATGATGTCCCGGATCCACTGTGCCAAAAGGTGGCGGTGAATTTATTCTGTGATGGTGAGCAAGATTACTTATTCACCGTGAATTACTATAGTCAAGCCAAGTCAGTAGAAGCTTTATGTACCCCAGTGGGTGTATTTTCAGTATTTTACACCATTAACTGTAAATTTACTAAACGAGCGCCATCAAAAATGCTAAGTTTACAAATGGGTAGAAAAAGGAGAAGGGTGCAGTTCTAACTCGATCATGCAACCATCGTATGGCGCTTCGTTATATCTTCGGGATCGGTGTCCATTCAAAAGGGCAAAACCCCACTAAAACGTTCCCTCATAACTCATTACAGTTGACGTGAAATTTCGTGTCCAAAGATGATCGGGGATCGTGCGTGATATCTCAGCGTTTCTATTCAAAATTTAGATAGAGTAGCATTGTCCCAGTGACCTTGGACGTTGATTTTAAAAGTTTCTATCAGCTTATTCTGACAATAATTATATGTCCACAATAGATAATGCAAAAAATGATGTTCGGTGAAAAAGACAACGGCCGATTTAAAAGCCCCGCCGGTGTTTATTTGGAAATTTGTGTACTCACGGCCACGGAAGCAGTTATCAACAAACTCACAGGCCAATTTGTCCAGCACGGAATACTTGAGTAATTTATCTTCGGCAATTACCCCCAGTTTACCAGTACTGTGTTACAAACCTTCACAACCAAGCCGGGATTTGCAAACCGACGAAACAACCCACGTTGCAGTCAATCAAATGGGAAGGCGGGGTCGGTAGTGTGGCAATTAAGCGGGGACCCCTACCTCAGGCTACTGGTGAATCGCAGCACCCGTCCAACGGATGTTGGTTTGAGCCCAGTGCAGCTCTCATACAGCCGAAGTATAAGTACTCAGATGCCGGTATCTGCCACAATCTTACGCTCAGTTTCGTCACGTGGGACTACAAGATAGTATAAAAAGACGAGTGGCCATACAGAAACATTACTGCGCTCGCAGTACCTGGGCACTATTTAAACTGTCATTGGGGGGAGGAAGCATGAGTTTAACCATTACCCGGTGTTTCACGAACGGTGGAGAAAAAGTGTGACCGCGTCGGTGTGAGGTCATATGAAATCACTGTTGAGGGGAAGACGATCAGAAGGAACAAAGTGTGGTTGAGGTGACACTGGAGGCAACAAGGTGGATCAGGAGCGGAGCGTTCTATAACATGCGTGGGCGGAACCACAGCTACAGATACAGCGATGAAAACGCGGAGTGGCAAACTCTACTAAATGATTAGCAAGGTGGAAGCGTGAGGACACCAAACAATGGAGGTTGTGATGGGACTGTTTTACCGGAGTGAACGGGCGGATCAAAGAAACGAGCTAGCCAACTACTTGGAAACTGATACGACAGACTCGATCAGTTGGACTCCGCTTGGCCTATGTTCGTGTGCTCCACATTGAATTTCTCCTGATATGTTGAACTGAGTTAAAGGAGGAACCTCATTAGTCCATAGAGGTCGTACATTATAGGAGTGCACGGACAATGCGTACCGAGGAGTTCTACCTACCAAATATGTCGTGACCCCCTGAGTCGATGTTGCCGGATAAACCCTTATCTCTAGAGGACTGACTTCCGTGACATTTTGGAGGATGATAACCTGCCTGCCACAAATAGCGTTGAATACTGCGACGTCATCTCACTTGTGAGCACAGTCCATGAGTATGGCCCATACGAGTGCAACGTGCCACATGACGCACGCGCTGCACCTTCAAGCGTGACCGATGCAGACATTTGGGGGAACGATGCAACAAATGGAGAAAAGATGTAGACCATGGACGGTGGAAATTTAATAGGCTGCATGTTTTATTCTACCTCCGCTGTACCAATTCATGTCGGCTCACGTCAATGGTGGGATTGTCACGTCACCATCCCTGATGCACTCGGGCAAACATGTTTACAGTTCTGAATTACCATTCAAAGTGCTCTGCCTAACGTTCAAGTCGGTGTAGTTGAGAAAAAATCAGTTGACCTCAATCTTCACTTATTGTTTCACTCACATGGTTCCTTGAGCCCATTAGTTTAATGAATTGGGACAACACTGGTGTTCCGGTAGCGATGTCCTTCCCATCTCACTGAATTTCACCGTCCACCATTCATTTTTAATGATTCCCATACTTCTACTTGGCTGGTGGCCGGAAGAACAAGGTGTCTACTTTGCAACGCTGAGGTCGTTGGTTTTAGCCTGCGTAATGGACAGGGCGACCCTCGCAGTATCCTTAGCTCTCTTGCGACTTGTGATGGTTGCATGGCAGCGAAACGTCGGTGTGACGTAATGCTGATACCCTTTTTTATACTCCCAGTCGGACGATGCGTCAACCTGTTACGAGCACCTATTAAATCCCGATGCAACCGCCTTCCATGCTCCACCGGGCCAATCGAAGCTCCAGCAATGCATCCTCTATTCTGGCCTTCAACTGTACAGATAGTCCATATCAAGTACTTTTTGCATGGCATATTGCAGGCTATTCCAGTTAGCACTAGGTTCACTGATGTTGCAGTTCAGGCTGATATTTCTGCTTCGCGAAATTCGAAAACAGTGGACGAGTTGGCACCTTCGAAATTGATCACTTAGTCGAAGCAGTAAGAGTGAGTGTTGTGCGGATACGTGCAATAGGAGTTGTCGAAATCAATGTTTGTGCTTCAAATCGACCGACAGTCTCGCCCTGATATGCGTACTCTATAGCTGTTATTATAAGGGTCACTGTGAGTCCGGGGCATCCTTTCGTTCGGTGGTCGCCATGTGTCTCTGTGTAAATGTTTGTTCTGGTTAGCTGGGGTATCGAACCGGCCTCCATGACGACGCTCTGACTCTGGTGCGCATCCAACTTCAGCATTCACGTCACTCGCAACATTCACGATATCAGTACTTTTGGTTAGCCGGGTGAAAAAGAAGAGCTACTTGTAAAATTCGCCTTTGATAGATCCTGGGCTCCACTCAATACGGGCGTAACCTAAAGCAACAAATGGGCGCTTTACCTTTCGGTCACTGCTTGTTGACTTCGACGGAGCCTCGAGGTCGATCGGTGGTCGAAGGAATGAGGCTTCTGTCCTGTAGCCCAAAGATAACCTATGTACATGCAAGTGATAGCAGTATTACTAGCCCACGTGCGATTGATGACGGTCATGTGGCATCGAAGTGTCGGTGCGGCATCCCAGTATACTACTGATGCCTTTCTCAATGCTCTGTGGTACATTGCACGGTAGAAGACAAGTTTCCGCATGCTTGCTGATACTGATTCTGACACCGTCTATGCCACGAGCCGTGGATTCAACATCACTGGAGACACTGGAGTGTGTAAGCCTGCATCTGATAAATGCAGAAGATTGGGGCGCTACTGTCCTTGGCGCTCGTTTCACCCTAGGTCAGCTGAAGCGATAGAACATGCTACAATTATAATCATCACCCACTCTGTGAACACTTCCACTGTCGTTCTACATCCGAAATAGTTTTCAGTACCAGACTGAGCACAAATTTTTTGTGCCGTTCTAAAGCCCTACTGTCCAGATACCTGTCGAACGACTTCAACGTATTGAACGTCTGTATGGCAGGGTTGTCCCACGCAAATTAAATTAAAAACGTGGAAATTCTATAACTGTCCCATGTTTCCGCTGAAATACATCAAATTCCACAAAACCTTTTTTTCGTTTTCGTGATTTAGGAGAAGGTCGCGTTACTCTTACCTATTCCTTTTTACTTTCGCTTCTTAACAAAGCGTGATTTTTGTCTCCTCAGTTCGCTTGTGGATTGTTTTACCTCTTAATTACCACTGAATCGTCATCCACGAGCTCCATGAATCAGTGTATCTCTCTCTTTCTGCTCTCATGATTGATTGATCCATTCCTAATATATAATACTTGCTTTACTGTGCTTCACCTTTGCTTCAGGTGTTGCATTGGCCATCAGCAGGGACGGTTCTAGTGGAGGCTGCATTCGCCTGGCAGTCATTTCAAAGGATGGAATCGAACGACATCTTATAAAGGGGAATAACGTCCCTTGTTTCAACTCTGGTTGAAAACAGCATATGTGAATTTCGTCTTTTTGTGTGCAAACGTGACCATAACTTGCCCATAACTTTCTATAACCCCGAAATACCATGATTGTGGCTTCGACACTCCTGTTTTCTATACAATGCGCAAACCATACGGGTTAGGAATTCGCACACAAAACTGTTTTGAACATGACTTTTTAAGGGACCCAATTGGAAACGATTGATACTTGTCGCTCATAATGTCCTTTACGGCTTCAGTTCACTCTGAGTCTCGCCAACAAACTTTCTCGTAGGTTAGCCTTACTGGTTGTAGAATGTAGAATATCTTACATGTTCGGGTGTTACATCAACGTTGAACTGTCATGGCTGCGAATTGAGGCATTGAAGGGTAACTACGGAGAAGGCCATCTCCACTGTGCCACAAAGCCTAATCATTTGAGTCGTCTTTGGTGTTGTGTCATTGGTGACCACATCAACCGTGTGGCTATTGTACGCACGGATATGCCTTGTATGTATTTTTAAGCCTCCGCCATTTATGGTGCGTGCGGTTTGTTGACTAAAAGCACTCTGTACGCCTCTGCGGTGCTGTTGGTGTTATAGTTTCTACCAAAGATACTACTGCTCTGTGCTTAACACATGTAGTGCTTTTTACCACCAACAAATGGCGCACCCAGAGTCGATGTTTGTGAACGGCCTACATCGGTTGTCTTATTCTACACATGCCTGCTAGTCGTTTACATCAGTTTATTGTCAGACCACTCTGCGGTGTCCACTGGATGATATGGCCAAATGTGGGGAAACCTATCAGGGAACTGAGTCGGATTAGGCACACCATCCTCGGGCCCGACCACACCAGTGGTGCTCTGGCATTCAACCTATTGCCTCGCATCTATTTTGGTCACTTGAATTGACTTTCCCAGTCTTCCACTCTCTTGTTCTTCTTCATTTTATCTTCTATCTACGTGAGTAAATGCATCCGGATCCACCGCGCCGAATTGAAACACTCGTTACAGGAAAAAGCATCAGGTGGTGTACAGCTAGATGGCGCGATGTCTTTGCGAACGGCTCACTCCACCTTTAAGGCTGAATACCACTAAAATGTAAGAGAGTTGCTTTCGCACTGATATTGTCGTCTGAAAGCCGATGTTCACTTAAGCCACTGCATCATCCGATCGCACCTCAGACCACTATTGTTCTTATCTTTGGCGCCTGGTTTATTCGATGACTCGATCGGTCACGTTTGTTCTCTCAAATGGGTTTACGATGAGGAGCATAGACAACCGCGGGCACTCCTGTGCGAACACTTCGCTTAGTGTTATCTCTATCATGCGAACTGAGTTTTACAGAGTCGACCACTAGCACGCGTATGATTTGACACAGATGTCTTTTAAAAATTGCAGTAGATTGTAGTACTTATGTTATTTTACCCCATCATTCATTATACATGTTAGCTAGAGGTGGGAAACATCTCAGCTACTGTGCCGCAATACGTAAAGGAAAAGGAAAATAAATACAACAGTTGTATGCCAGCTGAGCTACCAGCAACGGATAGGCATCGTTCCGGTAAGCTACCAACCGGCTACTAGGCGAAAAGAAAAATTATTATGTAAACTTATATTTCGCTACGAAATGAGATCGTAGGTGGAGGGGAGGCTAAACGGGATGGGGAGGGACAAAGAAACTCACGGCAGGAACGTCACTGAGGTCGGCTCCTTGCCATGTCAGCAAGTGTATCCAGCCAAACGTGTTCATCATCTTTTGGACCCCAACCAGGGAACCGTGACGCTCCAACCGAGGCCAGGTCCGAAATGAGGGTCTTCATTCCTCTGGAGAAAGTCATCGCTTGGCCACCCCTTCTTTTCTTCTATCCACACCCCTAGTGAGCAAACAACGCACGTCGCGGAGGTCGGTGGGCTGGCTTGCGCAACACGTGTCCGAGCCATCGGAGCCTGGTGCGTGAAATAACGGTGCTGAGCGATTCAGTTCCCTTTTCTGTGCCGTAAACCAGGCGTCGAACACACTCGTTACTCACGCGTCGTTCCCACTAGATGTGAGCCAAACTGCGGAGGTACAGATGGTCGAACGTAATTAGCCCCTTTATGTCCGCCGATCTTAGGGGCCAGGTTCCACAACCATACAGTAGGGTCGAACCTACTGCTGCATGGCACACTCTACCCTTCAGGGCGAGAGTGATGTCGCGCCGCCGCCGCCATAGGTGGCGAAGGTTAGCAAAAGCACCTCGAGCTTTTGCTATACGCTTCGTGATCTCATCTTCAATCCCACAGGCGCTTATACAACTTCCCAGGTAGTTGAATTTCTGAACGACTTCTAGCTGATCCCCACCAAGGGTCAGCGTCGGAGGCGGTCCAGACCAATCTTGGAGGAACGCTTTGCACTTGGAGGGTGCAAAGTAAAGCCCGAAGCGACTGACAGCCAGTGCTAGTCTGTTCAGTGCCGTGTGGCACGTCTGGGACCTGTCACAGATGAGGGCAATGTCGTCTGCATACTCCAAGTCAAGAAGTCGTTCTGCTGGAAGTAGATCCACACCTAAGTCATGTCCTGTAAATGCAAACTCCATGACTTCGTCAATAGCGAAGTTGAAGAGGAAAGGTGACAGCGGGCATCCTTGTCTCACACCGCTGGAAATATTAAAGGGTGGTGACAGCTTGCCGTTAGCTCTCAATCTGCCCGTGCTACGCGCGTATAATGCTCGGATAATATTTACATATTTCTCGGGCACACGTTTCCTGAGTAGACAATTCCAAATGGCACATCGATCAACCGAATCGAAGGCACCTTTGATGTCGAGGAACACGATTGCAGTGGGTCGCCAATATGTGTGACGGTGCTCCAACAACTGACGCAAGGTGAAGATGTGGTCGGTACAGCCACAACCCAGACGAATCCCGGCTTGTTCCTCACGAATCTGGCTTTCACGAGAGCCAGTCAGTCTGTGAAGGATTATGGAGGCGATGAAGACCAAACTGATTCCTCTATGGCTGCCGCATTCCGAACGCGAGCCTCCTTTGAAGATGGGAACAATAACGGAGTGGCTCCAGTCGGTTGGGACAGTCTCCTGCTCCCACATTTTCATTAATAATTAATGTAAATCATCAACAAGAACAGAGCCTCCGAATTTGAAGAGGGCTGGATGAAGATCAACTGGTCCCGCGGCTTTGTTCAACTTCAACAGTCCGATCTCACGTTTGACTTCTGAGCGAGAGGGTGGATCCAAAGGGACAGCCTAAGGAGCAGGGCGATCACTGGCCGGTGAGGAATCTAACAATTCCGATGGATTAAATTGCTTTTCAAAATGCTCAGCCTAATGCTCCAAACGTTTTGAGAAGTTGTGGATCGGCTATCCGCACTCGCCACGTATAGTTTCACTAACACCAGGTATCCTGCTGCCCGTTTCCCGTATCAGGCTGAATAATTTACTATGGTTACCAAGGCCAGCGACCATTTCCGTCTCTGACGCACGAAGAGATCACCACTTCAATTCGATCCAATTGAACTTGTATTACCAATAGGCTGATGGTCAAGTACACTTTCATTGAAAAACTACAACACATCTTTTCGTTTTTTTTACGTAGTCCATACCCCTTCCGTGTTTTTATGTGGGGAGCAGATTCCTACCATGAAGTCACTCCTAGTGCCATAAGCAGTGTAACTGAGCGGTTAGTCATGACATCACTCAGTTCACTATCCTTTTCTGGTACACTTCACTCGTTGTTGCTTGCCTTTGGTGATGATTTCAATGAATGGCAGTCAACCTTTGAAATTGGGGCTAACTGTCAACCCCGATAAAACGATTGCTCACTCGCGGCTTCACTAGACACGGAACTAATAGTGGATGTGTTGTAGGTTGGATGATGATGAAGCCGGTTGGCTCACTTGTTTAACACTCATTTACTAAAGTTCTCATGCACTGTCAACAGAATCTAGGCACTTGACTCCATCCGTTTCTGACAATGCTGTTCGCGTAGTACCATATGAGAATGATCTGTCAGGAAACACTAACTTGCAAATGCGTATTAATTGTTGTGTCGACCGTTTCCGCCTCAAATTTACTTGGCTACCATCGTTGGTTTGATTGCCTTACTACATGACTTGAGTTGTTTCATTAGAATCACCTTATCTTTAGATTCAATATTTGATACAATTCAAGTCCCCTTGTTCATATGCACTTCTTCCAGCATTGTTCAAGCATGACGTGGTGTTTGCTAAACTGTTAATAGTTGCGTTTTCCAACAAGCATATATTCCTTCTTTGGGCGATTCGATTGTTGCCCATGTTTTCAAGAGAAGTCCCTTTATTTTGCGTGCCTTTCACTATCAATCTTATGCTCTCACCTTCATACTGCCGGTATCGATTCTATTCAATAGGTCTTTCGTAACTCTGTCGTGCAAAGAACAATCTGGTTCCCTTACTTACCCTTCCTTCATGCATTGGACTCGGTCGATCAGCCTGTTTTGCAGCACTGCTCACTGATGGCTTGCTGAACAACTTCCTCGTGGTGCTAGCTGGACGGTTCTTGTATTTCCTGTTCCGGCCATAATGTTCCAGGCCGTGGTGGGTTTACGCCTAGCAACCATTCTCTCTATACTAAGCCACAAGTATCTGCTTAACAACACTGCGATGTGGCTCGCCATTAAATAACGTCACTGCCACTTGTCTTCCTCGGGGACAGTGTATACCGACAAGCAATGCGTGCATCGGATTCTGCCTTCGACTTCGGGTGCGTTGAGATCTTGGTATGGCTTTCCGCCATCTGAAAGGCGTATGAACTGAGCGTTCAATCATCCGCCCCCAACGGGTGCGAAACCCTTGTCTCGCTCTGCTGTCTTATAGGTCAGGCCCTTCGGCTAATACCCGGTGCCGTCGTTCCCTATGATAACCTGCCTACTTCGGCCTAAGCAGCCAGGTAGTATCGCCTACTGACAAACCATGGAACCTCACAACTACGTTCACTCTCTTCCACTCTCATGATAATCCACTGTCATACTACTACACCAATCACACACCATCAGTTTATCTTCCCCAACCCTGTATCATTCACCCCCATTGTTGCTTGATTCTTCAACGTTGAACAACTCTACCTCCGTCGATGAAGTTGTTCCCTT